TTTTTTGTCTTTTTGAGACAGGGTCTCCCTGTAGCCCCAGCTGGCCTGGAACTCACAGTGATCTGCCTGCCTCTGCCTCCCGAGTACTGGGATTAAATGGGTGTGCCACCACACCCGGCCATGATTTCTTTTTATAAGATTGTTATAAAAACTTTTTTCCTAGGCTGTCACTGATAGTCAGTGGTGATGATGATGGTGATGACAATGTGCCACCAAGAACTATCAACACTACCAGAGCAGTAGTTTCCAAATCTTAGGTAGGCTACATTTGAATTACAAGGGAGATGTATTTTTTTGAGGCACTATCTTCATGAGATTATAATGCAATTAATGATTATAATGGGTAACTAGGTTCACAAACAATATGTAAGACTAAAGATCCCAATGAAAAGACTACAGGAAAGATGGAAGATGTTGGGGATCCTGGCTGGCAGCATATCTAGGCCAGGTCTGCTCATTATGCGGCTCTTACAGAAGCAGGAGAGCCTTGTTTCTTGGGAGGATGCCTGCACTCACTCATGCCTTGTGCACTTGTTCATATCACTGCAAGAGATCATTATCAATGGGCAGATATGCCCCACTGGAAGGGGTGGGTCCCCAAATTCTTCTGGGTATACTCAAGGCCTGGAGTGTTGGGAAGACCAGGCTGGAAGTGGGGTTTCCTGGGTGGAGGCCTCACCAGACGTGGCTGAACATGGATCTGCTAGAGCACCCCTCCCACTGACCCTCCTGGGGCCCCACCATCACCTCTTGATCTGTTCCTGCTCCACTCTAAGCTCCTGCACGACCTCCTCAAACTGCTGCTTCTCAGCCTCCAGCACCTGATTCAGACGCTCGAGCTCCTAAAGGGAACCAAGGAGGAAGAAGAAAGTCATAGGCGGCATGGGGACTCCCTCTGCCACTAGCCAGGGGCCCTCTGGAATGTGACTCAGTTCAGACTTGCAAGTAAGTTCTGCAGAGCCCTGACTTCATTCAGTGGCACACAGTTTCAACTAACCCAAAATCTGTGATGAACTTGGACCATGACAATAGTCAGCAAGAGGGAAGATGTACTTAGAAATGATCCTAATAAGGTCCTTTGGCAGATGTGACTGTAATTCTGGACGTTGCTCTTCTGGGCAATTTCAGTGACTAACACCCTAAGGTGAAGTGGCTGGCCCTCAAGCATGGAACAAAAAATAAAATGTGAAACATGTTATTTCTAGGACACAGAATGACATCAATTAGAAGTGGCAAAGAAAAGCTATTCTCAACCCAAGAGTTAGAAACCAAGATCTCCTTAGGCAGGGCGTGGTAGCACACACCTTTAATCCCAGCACTTGGGAGGCAGAGGCAGAAAGATCTCTATGAGTTCGAGGCCAGCCTGGTCTACAGAGTGAGTTCCGGGTCAACTGGGGCTACAGGGAGACTCTGTCTCAAAAAGACCAAAAAAAAAAAAAAAAAAAAAAATAGAGAGAGAGAGAAAAAGAAAATGTGATCTTCTTATCAAGGCATCCAAGTTAGGCGGACAGCTTCTGTCTTCTTAGTCCCTGGGAACAGGAGACTCAGAAGGCCCAAGACAGGTACCAGGGGATCAGACCAGTTCCTTTAGTGAGGTCAGCCAGCCTGAGTGGTTTCCCAACAAGGTGGAGCCTCCAGGGGTTCTATTTTTCTGGGGCCAGTGGCAGGTGGTATTAGGGATCCACTTTGTGGGAAGTTGGTTCATAGAAATTTTGTGACAACTGCTTTGCTTCTTCACATGTTATGCTGTGGTAGCACACTATTTCTGTATCTGCTTTCTCACCTTCCAGTTCCAAATTACTTCCTATTCATTTGGGGACTTTATTCTCAAGCATAATAGCATCCTAGCCAGGAAGTAGCAGTTCTTATCAGGCAATGTTGCCCTTGGCAATGAAGACATGCGGAGAAGAAATGAAATATGGGGGGCGGGGCTGGAGAGATGGCTCAGCAGTTAAGAACACTGACTGTTCTTGCAGAAGACATGGTAGCTAACAATGTCAGTAACTCCAGTTCCAGGGGATCTGAATGCCTCTTCTGGCCTCTGTGGGTGTTGCACTGTGCACTTACCTACATGCAGGCATAACACTCATACACATAAAATAAAAATAATAAATAAAATAAAATAAATTAGAGAGGGTAGAGTCTGATTTCAAAGCCCACGACCCCTATTTCTAAGCTTCTTACCTAATAGTTACTTCTTTCCCATCTAATCTTTATCGGCACATAGTCACAAACTTAATCAGCTTGCCAAAAGTGGTCATTACCTGGACTGCTCCCTAGTGTTTTGGAGCCCCTGGGCACATGAATGGCCATAGGTAGGTGGGTTCATAGGACTGACTAAAACCAATGAATATGAGCAGAAGGAAAGATATCTTCTGAGAAGATGGGGTGGAATGGACTATGGTCCCTTTACCCTGGCACATGGTAGAGGCTCCCTTAGCCTGGAACCCCAGGATTAAGGACACATGGAGCAGAACTCCAGTCAGCCCATGTAGCCACGTGAGAAATACATTGTGCTATTAAAAGCCATAGACATACAGGGGCCGTGGGTTATTGCATATGACATAGCTATGTCTATATGTGACATGTCTTACATAGACAAAATAAAAATAAAATTACATTTTAATTCTTATAGTCACCCCTTCAATTGCAGAAAACTTCAGAGCTTAAATATACGCGCTGTTGCTAGTGATGATGCTTCTCGAGTCTGAGTCAACAACCTTGACTGATTCCCCTCTAATGGTGTCTGTCAGCTGTGCAAGAACTGCTGAGAAGCCTAAAGAACTTACTAACCACAAGCACCCCCGAGTCCCCAAATCACAAAGTCACTTGGCTCTCCCAGGTCCTGAGGTTTCTGCTGCTTCAGAAATGATCCCCTAGGACTGAGTGGAGGACTCCTCCTTATAACCTTGAATCACCTTCTCTGGAAAGCTCGTTACACCACAACTTGCAGCTGTTTTCTTTCACATACTATTACACTGGAATATCTTTTTGTCATTGAAAAACTGGAGGTTGGAGCTAGAGAGGTAGCTTGAGGGTTGAGAGTACTGGCTGCTCCTGCAGAAGACCTGGGTTCAATTCCCAGCATCCACATGGCAGCTAACAACTGTGTGTGGCTCAAGTTCCACCCTCTTGTCACCTCCAAGAGCATTGCATGATATGGGTGCACTTTCATACATGCAGGCAATATATCCATACACATAAAAATAATAAATAAAAATATTTTTAAAAAAAGAAAAGAAAAACTGGAGGTTGATGATTAAAATGCAAACCTTCCCTCCCTAGCACTCAAGCACTTCATGATGCCAGCAGATGCCAAACAATGCCTCTAAGAACCCAAAAGAGAAAGTAATCTGCCTGAAAACAATGTGGGGGGGGCAACTAGTTTGCTTTTCTTTTTCACCTCATCTTACCTTGCTTGGTCCTTCAGTGGTCCAAAGCATGATAAGATGTTTCTACCTGCGTCAGTGGCTCGTGGTACCCGGGGAAGCATCTGCTACTACAATGAAGGGGTCAGAGGAATGGGTGCCCATGAAGCAGAGTCCTCCAGGGTCAAAGCAATTTTCTCTAAAGAAAATGCAGTCTTCATGGGATGCTTGAATCCCCTGCTTGATTTTCTGTCTAGAGGTGGCCAAGCTCTGTATGAATGGCTCTTGTGACAGAAAATCTATCTCCTTAAGACAGGTCATTTTGCCCTTGAACAACCTGAGAAGAAGCTCCATCCCCTCCCCCAACCAGCTCCACTGCTAAAAAAGTATGGGCAAAAGATGGAAGATTTCTGTCAAAATCTTCTCTAGGATCCAATAGCAGGTTCTACTAATTTCCACAGCTCTGCTCCTCTCCAGACCTTTGAGTCACCTCTGCCCGTGCAGGCTTTCCTTCCCTTCAGCAGCTGCCTCAGTCTTGGTCTCTCTCTCACTTCCTTCCAGCATATTGCTCCTCCGCTCTCAGGCCTGTGGATCCCAGCCCACAAAATAAGAGCTAGCAGACAGCAGACAGGCAGGGGCAAGGGTGTAGTCAGCACCTGGCCATTCCAGGCTGCTATAGTGCACTTAGGGAAGGGGGCAGCCAGTGTTGCCCACCAGATCCATTTCAGCCCAAATCTGCCTCCCTTCCAACTTTCCTCATGGAATCCAACTTCTCTGTCTTGGCCCATCAAACAAAACTAATTTCTTTTCCCTTCAAGTATTTAAAAATCTATTTTGTTCCCAAGTTGCCCATCCTACAAAACCAAACAATTCTTGTTTGCTGTGCTTCACAGACCACAATTTCTAGTCCTCAATAAAACTAATTATACTCTTCAAAAGAATGCAGGAACAGAGACTCCTGATCAGGAAGACTTAATCCAATGAAGACTCTGCAAATAATTTACAGGCTCAATGCGATTTCAGGAAATAGCCCAGTGAGATCTTTTTTCTTCTAATTCTCTTCATTCATGCTATGTCTATTTACCAAGTGTGTAATATGTTCCAAGCACCTGCCAGACTCTACAGAGAATCTGAAGATGCTTTTGTGGAGACTATGGTCTAGTACAGTTATTAATAAAACCAGACCAGGATTTTAGATCAAATGCAGGAATCCAATATTATTAAAACAATCAAACATGGGGCTGGAGAGATGGCTCAGTGTTTAAGAGCACTGACTGCTTTTGCAGAGGACGCGGTTTTGGTTCCCAGCACCCACATGGCAACTAACAACCATTTGTAACTCTAGTTCCAGGGGATCTGATGCCTTCTTCTGACCTCTGCTGGCATTGCACAGCACAGGTGTACCCACATACATGCAGGCAATACATTCCTACACATAAGAGAAAATAATAACTTTTTTAATTAAAAAAAAACCAAACACATTCAAGCAGTATTACAAACCAGGATACACCACATGCAAGACAGAGACCCAGTTCTGGGTAAAGCTATCCTGGATGGGAATATAGTAGAGAACTCCAGGGAGGTGGTAAGAGGGGAAATTAGCTGATTCTTGAGCTGATTGATGTAGGTGAATAAATGGGAAGAAGTGGATCAGGGCTTTAACTAAGTGGTAGAGGGCTTGCTTAGCAAGCACAAAGCTCTGGGTTCAGTCCCCAGTACTGAAGACATACATAGGATATAGGAACAATGCATAGGGCTGGGGCTGGGGGTATAGCTCAGCAGCAGTGTTGCAGTAGCAAGGAGGCCCCTTGGCAGAAAACTGGTCAGGAGAGTAGGGATCTCTGGCCTGAGTGGAGACTTGACATTCCAGTTTTGCTGAGTGGATCATCTGGTCACAGGTCTCCCATAGGAAGAGTTAAAGTTTACCTTAATTCATGCTAAAATGATAGCAGGAATGCCTAGTGCATTAATGAGATAGCGAACTTTTCCTGCCCTAAATCCCGCCCCCTAGCATAGTACCTCCAGACTGGGCCACAGACACATAGCTTTCCATAAGTCTGCCCACTTTTCTGAATTCTTCAGAAAAGAGAACCTCTTTTCTTCTATCTCTTTTCTAAGCATGTTTTCCTTAACACTCTGGGCTGCCCCAACATTCTGGGTTTCTTTACTAAAGTCTCTGTTGTAGCCATCACCCACACCCATCCTACCCTGGCTAAACCGGCATGGCTTTCTGGCTTTTTTCCCCTCTTCTGTCCTCTATCCTCAGGGCAGATGTTGAGATTTACAGCTTACCTGCCTTGAGGATTTTTCCTTAAACTCAAATAAAATTGTCTTAAAGCCTCCGTTTCAGTTCAGTTTGAGTCCATTCTTAAATTCTTTTATGAATTAGACTAAGAGCCCTAAAAGGGGGCCCTGTTCTCCCCTGTATCATCAGAATATGGGCTCAGTGTACACAAGGCCATAGGGTCTCCCTT